AAAGGGGGCCGCGCCCCCCCCCCGCTGTTTGTGGGGGGGGCGGGGGGGGAAGGGCCCCCCCCCCGGTTTTTTCCCCCCTGAAAAGAAGGATTTTTTTCTGACTGAACACAGCCTTGTCTGTAACAGCTTAAGCAAGGTTGTGATATTGGGTGGAGTGGGCACAACTTTAATGATTTTGAATACAAAGGTCGGGGGGGGGGGGTTGTGTGTGAATGAATGCGCATTAAATATTGAGGTGTACACATCTCCCAATTCCCTCTGCCTGCTAAACCAGAAGGTTGCTGGTTCAAAACCCATAACTAACAGTACTTGAAAGGATTTCTCAATGCTAATTCCACCCTTGTTATGCAGCCAGCTGATTGAGCTCAGTCATCAGGGTTTTGCTGCTGATAGCATGGCTATAATTGTCAGACTTACGACAAAAGTCTGGGTCCCTCCACTGGTGGACAGGCGCTCCAGCACTCAAACAGGCATCTGTGTATGCCTGCAACTGGTCACACAAGGTCTGCAGAAGTCCTTCGTAACGACACATGTCATATACACAGCTGAGGAAGTATGGTCGGGGGTCCACCACCTTTATGCAGTCCCTAATGAGGGATAGAGCCAATGCAGGGCACACAGGCATGAGACTAGAGCTGAAGCAACAAATATCTTAGATTCTATTGTACAACAGTTAAGTTACAAATGCAAGGGTACTTGAACACCTGTTATTATTCTATTCAGTCGATTCGTGGATTGTTTGTCAGTATCACTCGAAAGGCAGGAGCTGCAACCTATGACGTGTGTGCTCACCTAAATGGTCCCTGAGTGTCATTCAGCTTCCCACATTTCTCAGGTTTGGAAACCTCTGCTTCCAGACTGGGGTCACAAGATGGGTCAGGTTTGTTGTCAGACTCACACCTGTGAAACAAAAAACACAATTATGGTGTGATGTGGAACACAAATGTTCCATATCAAAGCCAAAGGAGCACAGGTATGGGAACTGACCTGTCATCTTCATCCTCTTCTGTCTGCCAACTGTTGCCAAACTCACCCGAGTTACCAGCTAATGCACCACCTGGCTTTTTGAAGTCATTGTTGGAGTTTCCATCGTAGTCTCCACAGAGACCACACATTTGCTCAGAGTAGGAGCTGAAGGGTCAAGACCAAAAGAATGAAATTACTGACTTGAGATAAACCTGAGCCACTAATCATACAATACTGAGACTACTTCAAGGTCATGCCCTTAATTCCTCCCCTCACATGATTTGTTGACCTTCTGTTCCGAGACTCACCTGGGGACAGAGATTTGAGCATAGTGGTTGCCATCCCAGCGCACAGTCAGACCAAAGGTGGTCTGCAGGGTGACATATTGACCAGCCAGGGAGAGAGAGATGAATGGAGAGG